CTGAACCATTGAAAAAACCCTCAGAATGCTGACTTTGCTGAAATGCAGCCAGTGCAAGTACATCTGCATCCGGTAGCAACCCTGAACCCTAACAAGCTGCCTAAACTGCCCCCAAAACATCCCAACCCAGCTACCCAGCCCAGTTGCTCTTGGCCTGTGGGTGCATGGAGCGGCTAAGCCCCCGTGTTCGCTGGCCAAAGCCCTGTGGGATTAGACCCATTCAGGCAGCGGGAAGCCACTGGTGGAGAAACAACAGACATGGGAAGTGACCCTTAGCTATAAATTAGAATTCTGAAGCTATGCCTTACTGTGATCAAATGTATATTTCTGTGTTAAGGCTTCTGTCACAACACAACTTTATCTGTTACAGTAGAACAATTGAAAGTGTGTGTGAGGACATTGGGATCAGACCTCTTTATGTTTTTAAGTCATTTGTATCTCTGTTTGTGTGAGTCTCACTTTCTTTCACTGTCGCTCTGCCAAAACTTATCTTATGCTGCACAAGACCAGGCCTCTTGTTTATGAGCGCTGTGCTTGGTCCTTGAATATCACCTCGTGCAGAATAGACCCAGTATGAGCAACTTCATCTGCCATTTATATATAAGGCTCTGCAACATTGCAACAACACCACAAATGGTTTATTTGTATGAAACTACTTTATTTGTTATGTACGGAGCCCCTCTGATGACATGGTCCAAAAAATCAATAAATTGTGGCCACAAAATACTGCTTCGTGGGCACGAAATGCTAATTTGTGGGCTAATTTGTGGGCTAATTTGTGGGTATAAGGTGGCAACCCAGATAGCAAGGAGACATTGAACAGATATAGATTTTCCATCTGAACCATCAGAATCGTCAGGATTGAAATGTCAACACAAAACCAATGTTGAAACAACACTGAAATACTGATGAAACCTGACACTGACATTGAAATAACATTGATTCACTGTTGTTCTGTCATCGTTGATTGTTGATCAATTTATAGTTGAAAAGGAGACAACAATCACGTTGAAAAAACATCGATTTATGGTTGAGTGGGAAATTAAAGCTGCTACCACTTGGACTATTCCATAGCACCCCCTCTCACAGTGGTACATCCCTCCAGGTAACAACTAATTACGCATTTGTGGCAATGAAATAGATAAAGTGCGCACATATTGATACAATTCCTGGACAGCTGCGTAGAGACATAAGCATGAGAGTAGGCTAAACCTATACACCGTGGACAGAGTCGGTATGATCGGGTTTGATTTTAGGCTGGGGATGCGCTACAAATGCATTTTGAAAAGCCTGCAATGCAAGGACCCATTATTACAGAGAGACATTTAAACAGGATACTGAGGGGCTCCGTAGTTATGCGCTGTACAAAACAGAAAGAAATTAAATCAAATGCAAAAAAGAAAACTTACTGACCAGTCCTTTGAAAGTTAACCATCACTCGTGGTGCTGCATCATAATGACGTTGGTGTAGGACTGACCAATCCCTGGTCTGGTCATTCAGTTAGCATTAGCCAAGAAGTCGGCTAATGCTAATCAACATGAGTAACCCAAATATGGCTGACAAAAACCGAACTTAGTCATATAGTTGTTATACTGCATAATTTAAACAGTTTCTCCGTCTTCAACACCAACACTGAGCTATTAGACAGACTCGCTGTCCTTTGGTCATTGTTGTCCACGCTTTAGTTGTTGGACAGGTTGTGTGGCTGCAAACATTCACCACGCTGACAGGTGCTCGTGTTGGTGC